ATTGAAATCAAATGTATATGTTTTAAAAGCATGTCCAGCATCTTAGACCCCTTTCTGTTTGGATTTTGTTGACTTTAGTGATGATGTAGAAATCTGATCTGGAAAGGTTTGCTGTTATTACTGCTTTGAATATGAACTTGTGCTTCTTAGCGCTCTAAGCAGCTGATTAGGGGAAGGAGTAATATTCTACTTGATTATTGGTTACACATATGGAATAAATCCTATTTTAATGGTGTCTAATGAGTCTTTCATTTTCAGATCCTTACACAAAAGCCTCTAATAGAAAGGGAAAGTAATATTTCAAAGGTCATTTTAATGCCACTTAATGTCAACAATCCATAATCAAGCCAATATATATAGATGGTGATTACAGTCCAGTGGTGATCCTTTAAATATGAAATAATCTCCTAAATTAGCAAAGTGGTGCAAACTAAGGTTCTCTGAGTTTGAGGCAACTTATTATACTTTTTAATTAAAGTTTGTTACTTGAAAACAGCCTCAGAGTTAAAAAGATTTCTCAGAGTGAGGCTTTATGCAATGCAGTGTTTTCAAATCTCATGAGATTTAAAATCCTGTCACTTATAGTTTCATGTTTTGTTCTTATATATGCCTGGAAAATGATAGCTCCTCCCCAGTGCTTTTTCTCAGTAGAGGAATGTAATGGGCACAAAAAATGTGGGACGTTTTGTTGGTCAAGAGGCCAGTGAGGGGACTTGTAGGCATACTACCTGTTTCAGAACCAGACATCTGCCTGGCAGCAGAATAGTCTGGAGTTGAAAGAATCTCTAGTACAAGATTGACATTCTGAAATTGTGTCCCATTTGCTATGCGAGTGAAGATCACCCTGCCTTATCTTGGAATGGAGGTGTTCCTTTCCAGTCTAGGGCTGCTGCTGGTCCATATGACTCTTGTCCCAGTTAGAAATGGGAAATTATGAGAGAAGCTTTACTTCTGTCAGGAGATTTTCTTAAGAAAATCAACAATCATTTTAATATGAATGGCATTCTTGAACTCACTGGCATACTGTAGGATCAAAATCTCTAGAAGGGCTTGTTAACACTAAGATGTTAGGCCGCCAACCCCAAGGTTTTATTCTGTAAGTCTGAGGTGGGGCCAGAGTGTATTTCCCACACGTTCCCAGGACATGCTGATGTTGCTGGTCTCTGTACTACATTCTTTGAGAAGCACTGCTCAGGGTTTATCAGTATACGATCCGCCCAGACATACACATTGACCTTACTTCCATCTTCCCATGAGTAAAGTCTGAGTTTTATTCATCTTGTTCCTCCCAATGCTTAACCTCTAAATCTAGCACCATTCTCATAGGGCTTACACAGTATTTGTTGGGAGGTGAGGGGGGAGGTGTGGGAATGCTATTTAGATTAAATTACTATTGTATACCAGACCCCTTTCCACCATCACTCCCTCCCACATTATCACCCTGCATTTGTCTCTCTTTTGTGTTATATTTCTCCTACTTCTGCTATCCTGTTGGATTCTGAGTGTTGATCTGTCATCTTTCCATATAGGGCCTGTGTTTGTACAGGCAACCTTAGGCCTGATGCTCCAGTTGTGTGTTGCTGGGCCCTAGGTTCTTGGTTCCATTGCCAGTCCAGGTAGAAGAGGACCTGAGACTAGGATATTGGTCAGTTTTTGTGTAGGGGTTGGTTGGTGGCAGTGGTATGAGTGGTCAGGTGACTACTTGGACCTTAGATCTCAGGATGGACCTTATACTTTAGGAAACTCAGTGAGAAAGTGTTTGGCCAAACCAAGGAAATATTCTTCCTGTGGTTCTTGCTTCCCTAGGTTTAGATATTCATTTAAAAGAAAGACTCACTTATTAAAGATTTGGAAAACATGAAAAAATAATAAGGAAAAACAGCATCCATTTGCCCAAATATCCAAAGCAACCAGTTTTGGTGTATTTTATAACAACCTTTTGTAGTTCTACCTAAATGTTAATTTATTTTTAATGCGTGTGCATTTCATTAACCATATAAATCTAAGGATAAAATTGCCTAAAGGAGAGGAAATTCTTCTATTGAGTAACAGGATTATTCCCATAATGAATGATAATGATTCATTACAGAATTGTTTGCTTTCAAGTTTCATCCAGAGACCATTAGAGAAGTGGACAGCACCTCCTTTCTCTTGCAGAATTGTTAGTATGGCAAGTTCAGTCAGGTGTGGTGTCCTGCATCCACTTGGTAGGGTAGGTGTTAGCCGCTCCACCCTGAGCTGTTTGTCAATTCTTCAGTGCCTGATTTTACAGTTTTGAGTTCATAGTTTTTTTCAAGTAAATTTCTTAAACAAGAGTGAATGTGTGGAGCAGATTATGAGCCCGAGTACATGAAATTGCCTTTCTCTCTCTTGATTTTATTCATACAACTCAACCTTTCTCTTGCTTTTATTTGTACAACCCCTTCACTCTTAATCTTTTCCCTCCAAAATGCTATAATGCTAGTACAAGTACTACAACTAGTTTTGTCTTCTGGCCTTTCTTGTTACAGAGGAAACATCTGAGATCAAGGGATTTTCATGATTTTACAGATAATCTTTTTGCTGTCTATTTCAGTCTGAGCACTCATATTTTCCTACATCTTTGCTATTTAAAAATGGTCAGGATATTCTTTGATGTAGTCACTTTTCACTGACTTGCTTGGAATGTAGTAAGCCCTTTGCTTGATCTTTGATCATTGCTTCTGTTAACAGCAATAATAGCAATTAGTTAATTTTTAATTGAACATTTTACTGCATATTTATTTGGACATTTAACTAGAGAGACCTTGGGAATGCTAGTCTACATCCGGTTTGTGTCTGATCCAGATAACATTTTCAGTTAGTTCTAAGATATGTCCGGGATCCCTCTATTCACTCTGTGGTAGATCCAGGGGTCTTGTTAGTCCAGTACTCACAGGAACTTCATAAATCTATTTTCAAGTGTTCTCCACTTCTGTGTTGGTGCCAAAACAATGCAGCAGACTTCTCTCTTACCAAGATCTGGGGACTGTAGAAGGGAGTGGATGCCGGGGCCTTCCTAGGTTTGGGTATGCACCCCTGAAGCTGGCCTCAGGGTGTCCACCCTACAAAAGAGCCTTGCTAGGAACTAGGATACAGGCTTGATGTGTCCAAAACCACAAACTCATTTTAGACATAAGTGTGGTGCACCAAGTGATTCCAAGTAAAATAAACTGAGCTCCAGGAGTTTGCTCAGAGTCGTCATTCAGAGAGAATCTTAAAAACAGAGGTATGGTTAGCAGAGGCTTCTTAGCTATGAATCAGGGGTTAACTTTGAGCCCCTTTATTCTCAAATTTGTGACCCACTTGAAAACCTGTGGAAATA